GGACGTTTATGCATTAGCGAGCCGTTTGTCCGGCCATCATCGCCGATGGACGAACGACCGGATGGACAGGGCGACTAAGTGTTTGTCAACAGATGATGGACAGGCCGACAGAAGGTGATGGACTAGATTCGGTGGCGATTGAAACAATTTACAGCCAAGGCCGCAACTGCTATGATCACGAGAGGCGTGGGAAAGGTGACAATAAACGGATAGCTGATGACGTCACATTCTCATTTAACCGACAGAGACGAGGCTAATTTATGGACGGGAGTTTACGACGCCTCAAACGGCACGGAGGGTGCGTGGCATTAATTCTTGCGGATCAGGATTTGGATGGCCGCGTCCAGCGCTTCGCACGAATCGCTGTCCACAATAATCACTATAATCAATTGACCGGGGACCTTTCGGCGGTGGTCACCTGTGGTCGGGGACAATGAAGGTTATCGATCGGTCCCCGGCGAGAGGAGCTGAACCGCGCAATTACATGCGTTCTTAATCGAATTACGGCGTACCCTTGAGGCGTGGACCGGCACCACGACACTCGTCGTAGACCCACCGAGTATCACACAAACGTCCAAATTAATGAAACCTCGCGTTAAAGCTGAACCCTCGTGAAAGCTGTTCAGCACTTTAAACTCGCTTGAGGCTTAGCAGCATGTCGTCCATGGTTAGTGGTGCATCAGGTTCTTTCAGTTCTCGACGAATAACGCACCTCTGTGTATAGGCATAATGAAAATGATTCACATCACGTCACTGAAGAAATGATATATCATCGGCGACCGACGGTTTTGGGGCATAAACCTCTGTATGAGTTCATACTTGTCGGCAATACAGCGTAAACAGATGGCTCCTCAACGCACAACGCAAAAAGTTGGTACGTCGGATGATAGACCGCCACCGATGCTTCAGCCAGTATCGCATGTACCTCCTTTGGACAGAGTTGCTGATCATCCTCAGCTGTAGCTGTCAGCAGCAACGTCTTACCGGGAGATGGGGTCGAAACGTCAGCAACGGTCTGTCATCTTTCTGCGTCATGTTCAATCAGCCCGTGTTCACACTCCCTGTGCTTCAGGCCGACTATCGATGCAATAACAAAATTGCACCGCTGTTCGTGAAGAAGCGATAAACCCCGTCTGAGGGCAAGGTAGACTTGAATGTTTTTTTTCACTCAGCCGGTTTGCGAAAGAAAGCTTCGTGCAAGTAAATCGAAATGAGTCGCTGGAGCGGTTTCGTAGACAAAAGTTATTATTTTCCCAGACAGAAGAAGAAAACTTTTATGACTCATTTTGAGATACTGGAATGGTGGACACGGACTCTTTGGCCAAGGTATTGTCGCATCCAAACGTTTTGGCGGTAAATGTTTCGTGCAGCCTCATTCAGTAAAGATGCAAACCTGTGAATGGCCTATTTATCTGATACTTTTTTAAACTTGACGAGTAAAAAATGAAAATTTTAGTTTACTGGTTCAAACTGTCAATAATAATAAGAAATTATCGTCAAGCTATTTACTACTACTAAACGTTCAAACGTCTGATTGATTTCCTCAAATGCAAAATCTGACAGCATGGCAAAACGTCCAGGTACCGACACATTGACTTGAAGAGCAAAATACCAAAATTTAGCCAGAATACAAGGCATTCAAGATAGAAATAGGTTGAATTTCAGAGTTGCGAAATTCCAATGAAAGAGAAGGAAAAAGGCATGAAAAGACTGTCGGTAGGAGTTGACACAGTTTGGAAGAAGTTGATTGAAGTATTCGATTCAGGGAATAAAGGAAGTAAAAAAAAGACAGGGCTTCAGAAAGTGAAAAATAAGATGAAGAGAGAGAAAGATCGAAAACGAAAGAAGGATAAAAGGAAGAGAAAAATTAGATGGAAATTAAAATGGAGAAAAAAGAAAGAAATAGAAAGCTAGAAAGGAAAATGAAACGACGAAGTGGGACAAAAAAGACGAAAGGAAGAATGAGATGAAAAAAGAAATGGTAACAGAAAGGAGAAGGGTACGAAGTCAGAAAAGGAGGATAAGATAAAGTAACAAAGGAATAGACAGAAGGACACGAAGAAGAAGAGTAACAAGGAAAAGGAAAAGGAGAAAAGGGAGAAGGGAAAGAAAAAAGGCGAGTAATAGAAACAAGGAAGAAAGAAGACCGAGAAGAAGAAAAGATAGAGAATGAGAACAAAACAGAAAAAGGGGAGAAAACATAGAAGATCAAGAAGAAAAAGAAAGACATGGTGATGAAGAATGAGAGGCAGAGGAAAAGAAGAATACGAGAGTGACAACAATACTGAAGAGGAGAGGAAAGGAAAGCAAACGAATTCGAGAAAGAAGAAGAAGAACGAAACGGAGACGGAGAAAGATGAAATGAAAGAAAAAGAATGTGGAGAAGCAATGAAACAAGAAGAGTAAGGTAAATACAAAGAAGGAAAGAAAGAAAGATAAAAAGAATGAGAAACAATAACTGAAGGAGAAGGAGAATAAAAGGAATGGGTTAGGAGAAGAGGAAAAACGGAATATAAACGAATTAAAAGAGACAAATTGTTACAGAAGACAGAGAACGCGAGCAAAGAGAGAAAGACAAAGAGAAAAGTTATGCAAAAGAAGGGCATAGAAGAAGAAATAGAAACGGGAGGTGAAAGAGGAGGAAAGAGAGAGAAAGAGCGATAAAATAGAAAGAAAGAAATGAGAGACTGAAAGAAGAATGACAAAATGAATAAGAAGATGAGCAATAGGTACAAGAGGGAAGGCGAAAAGTTTGGAGGGCGAAGAGTAAGATGAAGCAGGAAGAGTAGGTACAGAAGACAACGAAGAAAAGGAGAAACAAGACCAAAAAACCAGATATGAATGTAGAATTATGAAAATGGAAATCACCGAAAGACAGCAGTCAACGTAAAGGATTTTAGAATTTAGATGTAATATGTCTGGAAGGGAAGGCGGTATTGGACACAGCTTTCCTTGCTGCGAAAAGCATTGGTCTGAGCATGGCCAACTATGACCACTCAACATGCTATGGTTTCTCATGCTTGCCGTCTCCTCCTGTTAAAAAATACATTGCAACTTCCTCGTACAAAAAGAAACATGCAACCATCGGTTTTCAGATAAAAACTTATTTGATGACCGGAAAACGGAGACGGGCAAAGTTCGTTCGGCAGTTCAAAGCCGACGCTGCTTTGAAGTGTTGGACTGCGGAAGACGGAGGAGGAACCGAACCGCACAGTTGGCTGGTACCGATGAATGAAACGTTGAAGGGCGGAAACGGCCCGTCGTAACAGCTGCTTAACCTAGGACTTCAACCACTGATGTCAAGAAAAGTTTTACACGTGGGCTGAAGACAGAAAGGTGAAAGAATCCGCAAAATTGGAGATTTCCTAATACCGATCGATATGTCCACTCTGGGGGATAGAACTTGCCTCCCTTCTCGTGCCCGTCAATCATCAGTCGACAGATGAATTGAAGGAAACCATTTGAAACACATTTCCAAAACGAACCTGCCCTGTCTCTACCGAACCGTGACCACGGAACGGACGAAGTTCATCCATCCATCAGCTTAGTTTTTTTGGTTAACTTATGTAAATTGTGAATTCCTCGTCGGAGGGCTGAGGTGGGGCTGACGTGACTCACACGGAGGCGAATGACAGCCGCCATTGTTCGTTGGCCGACGGTAGCGTGCGTGCCTCTACAGCGGTCGTAAAACAGCTGTCGACGAAAAAGTCTTCGACCGTCTTCTTTGGTCGATGATGATTTATGGAGGGCGTAGCAACGCCCGGGGCCGACCTTGCGCGGAAACGGCCGCCGTCTTTGCACAGGTGCCAATTAACAACCAGTCGCCGAACCAGGTCCGGTCCG